ATTTATGCTTGCCATTATAACTTGTGCCTTACGCATTTCTTGCTATTTTAAAATTTTTAAAGTAATGTCTCCTTGTTTGTATTGATATTATGAAATGGGAAGTAACTCACACACATTTTATTAAAGCTTTCGAAATTTGGCTTCCTTTCCTTGGAAGTAAATTTGGCTACATGAGTAATTGGTTTATTTGTGTGCATCTATTTTCCTTTCCAATACTGATAACAAAATTGTTTCGACAAAGATATTTATGAGTGTTTATTTAAAGTATCGGGCGGCGTGGCCATGCAGTAGATAGCTAGACTGCTAACCCGAGTTCAAATCAGTGGAACGTCTTTGAGTCTACCCAGCTCTGATGGGTTCCTACCTGACCAACAGTGTTCCCTCTACGCTGCGCGGTTGCGCGGCCGCGCAGTAGTTTTGAACCTGCCACGTAGTCCTTTTGTAGCATACATATATCCTTGTATAAGACTTATAGAACAGCGCGCACACAAAATACACGTTGCTGACCACACTATCCCTTCAATTGCTGAGGTCTCTAAAACAGATAAACTCTACTTCCTCTTCCCCATGTGTCTTGGGCACGAACGGGAAATAAATTATTATAAACAAGGGTCAAAACTTGACTCAGGTCTTTTTAAAATTAAATTTGTACGAAACGTGTTGACTCTTCTTTACAATACATTTTTTTATATCTCTCATGAGGAGTACTTACAATCTCTCCAGTGTTTCTTCCAGACTTTTTCTCCGGGGGGGGGGGGGGCACTTGAAATTTTCGAGGGGGCGGTAAACTTTCTTCGGGGGGGGGGGGGGGGGGGGGCGGACACTGTTAAAAGTATATATTTTCTATATAAATTATATAAATTTCATTTCGTTCGGGGGGGGGGGGGGCGGTAAATTTTTTTCGGGGGGAGCTTTGCCCCCCCCCCCCCCCGAAGAGATGCCTGGAAGAAACTCTGAATCTCTCGCGTGTTATATGACGTCATTTATTCTGTACCCGCCAGTCACATGCTCATTTCTCCACAGCCCCCCCCCCCCCCACCAACCAGCCCCTCCCCTCACCATGGCTATAACAAGCTCTGCCCGTCGCTTAAACCAGCAGAGCAAGGGCAGAGTATCTGTAATGTTACTGGGCCACTAGACACGGGGTCACATTTATGTATGGGGTCACTAGTACGTAGACGACAAAACGTTGGCTATATTCGGGGCCATTATGTACATACGGGGCAGCAAACACATGCCCTGCTACTCGAACTTTGAGTAAGTTTTTGTTATACCTTCACTGTTTTGTGCATCACTTAGATAATGTTACCGTCTCTCGACATATAAATGCATAATTATCGTCTAATTTAGTTAAAATAAATGTGTATATTACGATTTAACTCAGAGTGAGGCTGAGTATTAGAGTTAGTGTCAGTGTTGTTGTTGTTAGTGTTAGTGTCAGTGTTATTGTTGTTGTTGTTAGTGTTAGTGTCAGTGTTATTGTTGTTGTTGTTAGTGTTAGTGTCAGTGTTATTGTTGTTGTTGTTAGTGTTAGTGTCAGTGTTATTGTTGTTAGTGTTAGTGTCAGTGTTATTGTTGTTGTTGTTAGTGTCAGTGTTATTGTTGTTGTTGTTAGTGTTAGTGTCAGTGTTATTGTTGTTGTTGTTAGTGTTAGTGTCAGTGTTATTGTTGTTGTTGTTAGTGTTAGTGTCAGTGTTATTGTTGTTAGTGTTAGTGTCAGTGTTATTGTTGTTGTTGTTAGTGTCAGTGTTATTGTTGTTGTTGTTAGTGTTAGTGTCAGTGTTATTGTTGTTAGTGTTAGTGTCAGTGTTATTGTTGTTAGTGTTAGTGTCAGTGTTATTGTTGTTGTTGTTAGTGTCAGTGTTATTGTTGTTGTTGTTAGTGTTAGTGTCAGTGTTATTGTTGTTAGTGTTAGTGTCAGTGTTATTGTTGTTAGTGTTAGTGTCAGTGTTATTGTTGTTGTTGTTAGTGTCAGTGTTATTGTTGTTGTTGTTAGTGTTAGTGTCAGTGTTATTGTTGTTGTTGTTAGTGTTAGTGTCAGTGTTATTGTTGTTAGTGTTAGTGTCAGTGTTATTGTTGTTGTTGTTAGTGTTAGTGTCAGTGTTATTGTTGTTGTTGTTAGTGTTAGTGTCAGTGTTATTGTTGTTAGTGTTAGTGTCAGTGTTATTGTTGTTGTTGTTAGTGTCAGTGTTATTGTTGTTGTTGTTAGTGTTAGTGTCAGTGTTATTGTTGTTAGTGTTAGTGTCAGTGTTATTGTTGTTAGTGTTAGTGTCAGTGTTATTGTTGTTGTTGTTAGTGTCAGTGTTATTGTTGTTGTTGTTAGTGTTAGTGTCAGTGTTATTGTTGTTAGTGTTAGTGTCAGTGTTATTGTTGTTAGTGTTAGTGTCAGTGTTATTGTTGTTGTTGTTAGTGTCAGTGTTATTGTTGTTGTTGTTAGTGTTAGTGTCAGTGTTATTGTTGTTGTTGTTAGTGTTAGTGTCAGTGTTATTGTTGTTAGTGTTAGTGTCAGTGTTATTGTTGTTGTTGTTAGTGTTAGTGTCAGTGTTATTGTTGTTGTTGTTAGTGTTAGTGTCAGTGTTATTGTTGTTGTTGTTAGTGTTAGTGTCAGTGTTATTGTTGTTAGTGTTAGTGTCAGTGTTATTGTTGTTGTTGTTAGTGTTAGTGTCAGTGTTATTGTTGTTGTTGTTAGTGTCAGTGTTATTGTTGTTGTTGTTAGTGTTAGTGTCAGTGTTATTGTTGTTGTTGTTAGTGTTAGTGTCAGTGTTATTGTTGTTGTTGTTAGTGTCAGTGTTATTGTTGTTGTTGTTAGTGTTAGTGTCAGTGTTATTGTTGTTGTTGTTAGTGTTAGTGTCAGTGTTATTGTTGTTGTTGTTAGTGTTAGTGTCAGTGTTATTGTTGTTGTTGTTAGTGTCAGTGTTATTGTTGTTGTTGTTAGTGTTAGTGTCAGTGTTATTGTTGTTAGTGTTAAAGTTAGTGTCAGTGTTATTGTTGTTAGTGTTAGTGTCAGTGTTATTGTTGTTGTTGTTAGTGTTAGTGTCAGTGTTATCGTTTTTATTATCAGTGTCAGTCTTATTGTTGTTAGTGTTAGTGTTCTTGAAGATGTGCCAAAGTTCATCTTTTATTAAGAATTTTGGAAAGCTACAACTTTAACTGATCCAGTACAGAGTTTCTTCCAGGAATCTCTGGGGGGGGGGGGGGTGGAGATTGGGGGGGGTAAAGTCGACCGCCCGCAACTCCCCACCCACCCCCGGAAATTTTAGTTCGGAGAAAATAGTCTGAAAGAAACACTAATCCAGTTTCCAAATCCTACTGTTTAAAAAAAAAACGTAATACACAACAAAACATCGAATTTTGATAACTACTCTCACAGTGATTTGAAATTGAATTACTCAATAAAACTAAAAATAGATGTTCATCAAATATATTAAGACAAAGATATCTTTAAAAAATACTTCAACTTTTCAAAATTATTTTTTTTTAATAATCCCTGCTTTTAATTAAAAATAAATTAAGTTAACGTGAGCAGGTAAAGTGCGAACAATTTTAATGTATCTCCAACCAATAGAATGTATTTTACAATGATGCTTAAGGTACATCATACAGTGTTAATTCAAACAAAGACCAAAGTCACGTGCCGAATGTTAACATAAAATGATAAAAGTATGAGCTATCAAGTCGACAGTCTTATTGACTTTCACTTGAATGACAGTGTTCTACAAACACAAACGCACACAAACTCACACTAACACTAACACTAACACACACATACACTAACGCACATACACACACAAACACACGTACACATACACCTAAAGATGATGTATTTCTAGGATTAAGTACTTGTGTTGTCTGGGGTTAGACGAAACGCACCTATTTTAAATCCCCTCAGCCGTCAATAAATAAAACGTATTTAATTCTTAAATATAAAGCTATAGAAAGGACAAACAAAAATATCTACAACAACCATTGCATAACAAGTTCTGGTTTTCCGTTTTTTATTTGATTGTTATCTTGAAGTAAATCTTAAGTAATGAAACCTCTTCATATTTAAATGATTTTGTAACATACATGCGTGTTGCTGTATGTTATATGTTTGGAAAAACCTGAAATAATTGACAAGCACCACACGTAACACTGGAGCATACACATTACACGATAGAAGTTTACACTTAATGGACAATACGGATACAGAAAATACAAAACAATACATATACGAATGCGAGCATAAAGAATATACAAAACAGTAATAACATATGATTTCGCGCATACATTTAAAACTAAATATTTATACACATGCGAATACAAGCATGAAGAAAATACAGTAAGAAATAACATGATTTCTCGCACACTTCAAATAAAAAATATATTTACACGTACAAAATAGAGCAAACATCTAATGCAAAACAGCAATAACATTAAAAATATATGAATATATACAAAAAGGTTAATTAGTACATGAATTATCGAATACATGAGCAACAAAGTTGTGCAGTCTTCTTTATAAAATAATCCAACATGTTGACAGGAATTTATATATACCTAATGTCCTAAGGCATAGAGTTCACCCCACCATCCCGTCTTAGGCCGATGTAAGAGGAGCTGACCACACCATCCCGTCATAGGCCGATGTAAGAGGAACTGACCACACCATCCCGTCATAGGCCGATGTTAGAGGAGCTGACCACACCATCCCGTCATAGGCCGATGTAAGAGGAGCTGACCACACCATCCCGTCCTAGGCCGATGTTAGAGGAGCTGACCACACCATCCCGTCCTAGGCCGATGTTAGAAGAGCTGACCACACCATCCCGTCCTAGGCCGATGTTAGAGGAGCTGACCACACCATCCCGTCCTAGGCCGATGTTAGAGGAGGTGACCACACCATCCCGTCCTAGGCCGATGTTAGAAGAGCTGACCACACCATCCCGTCCTAGGCCGATGTTAGAGGAGCTGACCACACCATCCCGTCCTAGGCCGATAAATGAGATTGCCTAGAAACATTAAATGTGTAAGCTTTGCGTTGATTTGCTGGTAGCATTCGTTTCATCTTCAGGTTCAAAGGTCAGATGGGTTATCCCCCGCAGCTTGCGATCTCTATCGAAATCAGACGACAGCCTTGTATTATCTTCGCCATTTTTCGCCGCATCAAATTTCCCGTGTGATTTATCAGCCTTGGTTGTTTCCCTTTCATTTTTCGCGCGCCTGTTCTTTGTTTTAGGAGAATTTGATTTCTCATCTTCAGATCGCAACCTCGACAAATGCTTTCCCTGCGCCATCAATATCTTACTGGGCATCGCGTAGGCGTTGTCTTCGTCGTTGCTGTCGCCTGCCGCCTCGTAAGTCGTCTGTTCCTTCTTTGTGTACCCCAGCAGGCCAATCATCAGCCCGTATTTCGATGTCCTTCTCGTTCGCACCTCTTTTTGTTTCCCGCCGTTTCGCGTCTTCTGCTTCTCCTCCCGCATTGTTCGCTTTCTGTGACTCACCTTTTCCGTGTTGGTCCCCTTCTCGTGAATATCTCTCCCGAGCTTCAACCCACAACTCGACGGCTTTGAAAACGAAGTTTCGACTCCGTTCTTTCCCGAGTTCTTCGAGTACTCCGGATCAATCGGGAATGAGATATCCAAAGAACTTTCCTCCATCATACCGGGGTTAGTATACACGGATAAATACGTGTTCATTCCGGTACTCGGATCAAGTCTCAGATTCCGGACTTTTCTTAAGTAGTATCTTTTTATATAAATAAAAACGGCAAACGCTAAAACAGCGACGCAAAGCAAGGCAGCGGTTGAGATCACGACGACGTCGGATACACCAAGACTTGAAGGTTTTCTTTTCGACGTCTCCGGCGTGATCTCTTCATATCCGGTCACGTTAACGATCAGTTTCTTGCCCACGTGGACGTGAACGTGCCTGGAAAACAGTTTATCCAGTCCCGCGATCACGTGGGACCGATCCACGTTCCGGAAGTTGACCGAAATCGTGTTGGTATCGCAGTGGAGTTTCCCGATGGTGACGTCACTTCCGTTTTGGATAAGCTGAGCGAGCAGCGAGAAGACTTTGAGTCGCAGGTCCTCGGCGTAGGGCGACACGGCGGAGCAGTCGGATTGAAGATGGAGTGTGATTAGCATTTCTTGTGGTAGATTCGAACTCTGATTAGTGGGATTAACGAGGGTTGAGTTACTTATCTCTTGTGTTGTTGTAGATGATGAAAAAGTTGAATCGGACGAGATTCGTGTTGTAAGATGTGTTGATGATGTAGTAGTTAGTGGTTGTAAAGTTGATTCGTTAGTAACTAGGGTTGAGTGATGTGTTGTAAAGTTGTCAGGTTGTTCAGCAAAAGGTGTGGTAGTTGTAATATTTGAAGTCCATTGAGATGTTGTTTGTGTGAGAATAGTTTTGTTCAGTACTGTTGTTAGTCGTGATGCTTGTGATGATTGTGGTAGCTCATATGTTTGTGGTGTTTGGGATGTTAATGATGTTTGTGGTGTTTGATGTGTTTGTGATTGGGGTGATTGGGATGTTTGTGACAATTGTGATGTTTGAGCGATGGACGTGGTTAGCTCAGTTGAATTGTGTGATGTTAATTCAGTTGTGGGTGCCGTCTCAAGCGGTGTTAGAGCAGGTTCATGTGTTGTTGTAGCATGTTCATGTGTTGTAGCAGGTTCAACTGTTGTTGTAGCAGGTTCAACTGTTGTAGCAGGTTCAACTGTTGTAGCAGGTTCAACTGTTGTAGCAGGTTCAGCTGTTGTTGCGGCAGGTTCAAGTGTTGTTGTAGCAGGTTCAAGTGGTGTTGTAGCAGGTTCAAGTGTTGTTGTAGCAGGTTCAAGTGGTGTTGTAACAGGTTCATGTGTTGTTGTAGCAGGTTCAAGTGTTGTTGTAGCAGGTTCATGTGTTGTAGCAGGTTCAACTGTTGTAGCAGGTTCAAATGTTGTAGCAGGTTCAACTGTTGTAGCAGGTTCAGCTGTTGTTGTAGAAGGTTCAAGTGTTGTTGTAGCAGGTTCAAGTGTTGTTGTAGCAGGTTCAAGTGGTGTTGTAGCAGGCTCATGTGTTGTTGTAGCAGGTTCAAGTGTTGTTGTAGCAGAGTCAGTTGGTGTTGTAGCAGGTTCATGAGGTGATGTATCAAGTTCAGCTGTTGTTAGAGCAGGTTCAACTGTTGTTAGAGCAGGTTCATGTGTTGTTGTATCAGGTTCATGTGTTGTTGTAGCAAGTTCACCTATTGTTGTAGCATGTTCGTGTGTTGTTGTAACAGGTTCAAGTGTTGTTGTAGCAGGCTCATGTGTTGTTGTAACAGGTTCAACTGTTGTTATATCAGACTCAACTGTTGTTATAGTATGTTCAAGTGGTGTTGTAGCAGGTTCAAATGGTGTTGTAGCAGGTTCAAATGGTGTTGTAACAGGTTCAGCTGTTGTTGTATCAGGTTCAAGTGTTGTTGTAGCAGGTTCGTGTGTTGTTGTAACAGGTTCAAGTGTTGTTGTAGCAGGTTCGTGTGTTGTTGTAACAGGTTCAAGTGTTGTTGTAGCAGGTTCAAGTGTTGTTGTAGCAGGTTCAAGTGTTGTTGTAGCAGGTTCAAGTGTTGTTGTAGCAGGTTCAACTGTTGTAGCAGGTTCAACTGTTGTTGTAGCAGGTTCAAGTGTTGTTGTAGCAGGTTCAAGTGTTGTAGCAGGTTCAACTGTTGTTGTATCAGGTTCAACTGTTGTTGTAGCAGGTTCATGTGTTGTTGGAGCAGGTTCAAGTGTTGTTGTAGCAGGTTCAACTGGTGTTGTAGCAGGTTCAAGTGTTGTTGTATCAGGTTCAACTGTTGTAGCAGGTTCAAGTGTTGTTGTAGCAGGTTCAAATGTTGTTGTAGCAGGTTCAACTGTTGTAGCAGGTTCAAATGTTGTTGTAGCAGGTTCAACTGTTGTTGTAGCAGGTTCAACTGTTGTTGTATCAGGTTTAACTGTTGTTGTAGCAGGTTCATGTGTTATTGGAGCAGTTTCAAGTGTTGTTGTATCAGGTTCATGTGTTGTTGTAGCAGGTTCAAGTGTTGTTGTAGCAGGTTCAAGTGTTGTAGAAGCAGGTTCAGCTGTTGTAGCAGGTTCAAATGTTGTTGTAGCATGTTCATGTGTTGTTGTAGCAGGTTCAGCTGTTGTAGCAGGTTTAAGTGTTGTTGTAACAGGTTCAAGTGTTGTTGTATCAGGTTCAACTGTTGTAGCAGGTTCAAATGTTGTTGGAGCAGGTTCAAATGTTGTTGGAGCAGGTTCATGTGTTGTTGTATCAGGTTCATGTGTAGTTGTAGCAGGTTCAAGTGTTGTTGTAGCATGTTCAAGTGTTGTTGTAGCAGGTTCGTATGTTGTTGTAACAGGTTCAAGTGTTGTTGTAGCAGGTTCAAGTGTTGTTGTATCAGGTTCAACTGTTGTAGCAGGTTCAAATGTTGTTGGAGCAGGTTCAAATGTTGTTGTAACAGGTTCAAGTGTTGTTGTATCAGGTTCATGTGTTGTTGTAGCAGGTTCAAGTGTTGTTGTATCAGGTTCATGTGTTGTTGTAGCAGGTTCAAGTGTTGTTGTAGCAGGTTCAAGTGTTGTTGTATCAGGTTCATGTGTTGTTGTAGCAGGTTCAAGTGTTGTTGTAGCAGGTTCAAGTGTTGTAGAAGCAGGTTCAGCTGTTGTAGCAGGTTCATGTGTTGTTGTAGCAGGTTCAGCTGTTGTAGCAGGTTCAGCTGTTGTAACAGGTTCAGCTGTTGTAACAGGTTCAAGTAGTGTTGTAGCAGGATCAAATGGTGTTGTCCCAGGTTCAACTGGTGTTGTAGCAGGTTCAATTGGTGTTGTAGTAGGTTCAAGTGTTGTTGTAGCAGGTTCAAACGTTGGTGTATCAGGTTCAGGTGGTGTTGGAGCAGGTTCAGCTGTTGTTGTAGCAGGTTCAACGGTTGTTGGTGCAGGTTCAAGTGGTGTTGTAGTAGGTTCAAGTGGTGTTGTAGCAGGTTCAAATGTTGTAACACGTTCAGTTGATGTTGTAGCAGCTTCAACTGTTGTTGTATCAGGTTCAATTGATGTTGTAGCAGGTTCATGTGTTGTTGTGGCTTGGTTAAGTGGTGTTGTTGTAGGCTCAATAAGGGATTGTGGTACCAAAGATGTTGCCAGTGTCGTCACCTGCTCCTCTGAATCAGGCTCGTCAGGATCAATTGGATCGGAGGGTTCGGGCGGTTCGTCGGGATAAATCTCATCCTCTGACCGCCTGTGTCGTGAAACCGAAAGTAGATGTCGTTTCCCAGTTGCTCTCAACGATTGCTGCACTATAACCGTAGCCATATTCGGCTCTAGCCCAGGAACAAGGCTCTGGTTGATTATGTTTTTATCTAACGTCATGTCAGGTGATGTTTTTGATTTTTCTAGACTTAGAATTTTCGGTTTTGATCTTGCGGCCCATGTGAACGTCACATCTGCGACAATAAACGAAATGAACTATTAAAAAATGAAAATGTGCAGTCATTAGACATGTTTACGTGTTGAAGAACATTTTATATGTATTGGTTGTAAGGAATTCTAATATAATAAATAAAGATTCTAAAGCGCATAGTAAAATAAAAGGATTTATATTTTAAATACGTTTTTATAAAAGTATAACAAGAGAAGTGATTCCTGTTTCTCTGTGTGAATTACAAAGTTTTAGTTAGGTTTAAAATTTTATGTTTTATTAAAACACTGAAAAGGGAAGCTACTAGTTAAATTTTTTAAAGTTGCAAATACATGGGTAGTTTCCCTTGTCATCCTAATACTTTTTAACTGAACATTTTGGTCATTCAACAATATAATGGAATAAATTATTTAACTTCTAAAGACGATTAATAATTTCTTTTTTTATAAATGAAAAAAGTATATTACTATTTTTTTCCGTTAAATGTGAATACTAAATTATATTAAAATATAAAAAAATATCTACTCACATATTATTCCAAATAGAAAAATGAAGTAAAGTTTGTCCATCATTGTGGTGAGGTAGTTATATGTGCAGTAAAGTATTTAACTGAGGTTCGATAGTGTGGCTAAGTTTTCACTGTTGCTGGTTCTCTGGCGAAGTTTTCACTGCTGTTGGTTATGGTGGCGAAGTTTTCACTGCTGTTTGTTATCGTAGCGAAGTTTTCACTGATGTATGTTATCGTAGCGAAGTTTTAACTGAGGCTGGTCTTGATGTCCTACTGTTGTAAAGAGTAATTACTTGTTTAGTGCCTGATCAAAAAAAAATGTACAAATGAATACAACTCCCATACATCAAACAGAGCAAAGATTAGGGGTTCTAAAATGACAGTATGCAGATGTTGGGCAGGGCTCAGGTTACGGTTAAAGTTTGGACTTGAGATAGGATTGGCGTTGACATTAATGAAAATATTTTTTTTTTAAAATTACTACCAATATCTTTACATCTGTTTTCAATTATTGTAACACAGTCGAGCTTTCGTATAAAATTCAAAAAAGTAAAAGTTGTATTAAAAAACTTACCTAATATTAGAAAATCATTTTTTTAAATCGAAATCAGCATTCCAAGAAATGTCGTCGTTGATTAATTAGCTGATGACGCCGAGCACACTTTATCTGTAAATTAATGTAAACAAACAACTGTTGGTCAGACAGAATATGGTTGTTTGTTTGTTTTTTCGTGATATTAAGACGGTTTAAGGTTAAAGTTGTATTTTAAGATATCGAAAACTGGTTACTGCCCCTTAAAAAGGGAGACTATTCTACTGAAAACGAAACGTATTAGTTCAACAAATCTGAATATGACCCTGCCTTCTCCATATCTTGCCTCCCCCTTCCCCTCCCCCCCTCCCCCCCCCCCACCCTCCCAAGCACACGAAACAACACTGGGGCCCCTCACCTAAAGATTTGTCCTCAAATCCTCGGGCAAACACCGCCTCAGGATCGTCATAAAGCTATGATTCTGTCCGGACGAAAAATTGTGCCAAATTTTCGCACATCTTCGCCATCCGTCGCCGCCAGTTTGGCCGTGCGCATTTTATCTTTTTATTCTGCGGTCAAATTTTAGGCCAGTGACTGCCCAATGGTCTGGTGCTTTCTCTGATACTTGATAGGTTGAGATGTTATAAGCTCAACTTGCTTTAAATAACTTCAATGTTAATGTCAAATAGTCTATCATAGAGGTAGCTGGATATTTTAAAACCGCCTACCCATATATAAATAATATAAGTATATAAATAATAAAGAGTATTTTTTAAATTAAATTAATATTAATTGTCATTATTAAAATTAAAACACTCTTTTAATAATACAAAAATATTTTTAAAAATTACTTGAAACATTGGCCAGTGTTATCGCAATAAAATATATAAAATATAAGTAATCGTAATAACAGCTTTTTTGCTTTCATAAGAGTATGCTTTTTAAAGAGGTAAAATGTATCCTTTCATTTAATAAAGTGATGAAAATGCAGATGTATAAAAATTGTTTGGACAATGGTAACAATAATGAAAATAATAATAATGATGATAATAATAATAATAATAATAATAATAATAATAATAATAATAATAATATTAATAATAATAATAATTTTAATAATAAGAATTATTATTATTATTATTATTACTATTATTATTATTATTATTATTATTACTATTATTATTATTATTATTATTATCTTTTAGCTACGTTTTTGTTATTCGATGAAGGTTCAGTAATGAGTTAATTGACGAAAAAAACAAAATGTAGGGTACATTTATCATAAAATTCCTGGGCATTTAGTCGTGTTAACGAACTGCATGACTTCTTTAGTAGGTAATTAAACATGTCAGCTAGTTAAAGTGTTTACAATTTGCATGGGGGTCAGATAAAAATAAACTAAAACATTGTGCCTCCTGTGTACTGGTCTATTAGTAAGCTATCATTAAATTAAATAATAGAGTGGTACCTGACCAAATGTATATTAGGTTGAAATTTTAAAAAAAAACAACAGTCAATGGCCAAAAAAAAATTAAAAATGGAAGAATAAAACGAGAAATAACACGAACATGAGACGGCAAATATAAAAAAAATATTTCTGAGAGGTTCTCACACAATAAAAAACCTGCAGGAAAATGAGTAGAAGGTTTAATGTTGGCTTGTTAGCTAGCCTGACCAGTCCAAGGGGGACAACACAGACTAGGCGTGATATCTGAACGCCGACTCAGGCGATTGAAGTATCAGTTGTTTTTTTTTGTTTTTTTTTTTTTTTTTTTGTTTTTTTTTTCTCAGTTGAGATAAGTCGGATGCTAGGATAAAGGGCGAGCACTGCGGTTTTTATAAAAGGGATGTAACTTTTTTAAAAATTGTTTTTGCAACAATAGAATATTTTTACAACGTAAGATGTATTTTTTTCATTATATTAGAAAAAAATTGTTATTACTTTTGTACATTTTGATTTTGTTTTGTAAATTTAACAGTACAATTTGTAGTAGGAAGAAAAGTTAATTTTCAAAATATTTTTTTTAATTCTAAAAAGGCTTCTTATAATATTATCAAACTAAATTATAA